ATATATATATATATATATGCTCAGATCTACTCGTTTGCTTGCTTTCCTTCCAACCGTTTTTCATCTCGTGCATGGATTCGTCTAAGCTGAAAAGACAATCAGAGTGATGTGATTTCTCTCAGCGCTCCGCCAGCAAACAGACAAAGCCAGAATAGTGCCGACGGTCCGAGTCACAGTGTAAGAATGAGGGCCACAGATGCTCACCGATGGCCCGAGTGTGTCAGACCAGTGTGTTAGTGACACAAGTGACTAACCTTTTTCAATTGTTTACCAGACACATTTTCCCCAAAATACACAAACCTTACATTTATTTACATGAATAACTCTTTACATACTGCCCAAACCTCTTGAAATTAGTTCTGGGAGTCATGAATGGAGGAAGCTAAGCTGCATTCTTCATTATTTCTCATGAAATAATGAATAATGAATAATTCTAAATATCTTTTAGTTTCGCAAAAGAAATCTTACCGGCCCTAATTTGAGCTCAAAAACCTTCGTCGAGTCCAGCAACTCCGTCTAAACTTGCAGGATCCTCTGACTTCTCAGAAGACCTTTTCACCCCATCAGTTCAGCCAAAAAACCAGAAACAACAACCGGACCGGGTCCAGGATGATCCAAAACAAAGGCGTGTGAGGTTGTTCAACCTCTTTAAGCCTCTTACAGTGGCTGTAATTCGGTCTGCAGCGCTGCCGTTGGCTCTGATCATGATGATTTAATCCCTCAGTGGAAAAGGTTAGGTCGTCTTTGGATTTTACAGGATTGTCACCCTGCCAGTTAAACAGTAACAAAGACCAATAAAAAAATTGGAAGGCATGGACAAGCTTCTTTTACCAAGCGGCGAGGAGGAGGAGCGCTCCGAACACAGTTCGTATGCTCCGGGAGAAGCAAAGAGGACGATGTTGGACCGGGTGAAGACTCTCTTCCAGGGGACGTGGAACCTGAGGAGTAACTTGAAGGGTTTCTTGAAGAGGAACGGGCTGCTGACGCTGTCCATCATCTCCGTGATCACCGGCTGCACGCTGGGCTTCACGCTGAGGGGAACTCATCTGTCCACACAGGTAAAGTTACCACTCACATGTCGGGACAGAAAGTTTGAACCACCAGGGAGATCCTGTGCTTTTAATTTACGTCCAGACTCACCTGCTGGTACACAAAATTATTTTCTCCCATGTTGATACTTTATTTTAGTGTCCATTAGAATCTTTCCTTCAAACTTCCCAGCAGGACTCACCTGCTGTGACTTAAAATGTCGAAAATGTCTCCCGTGTGGATACTTGTCATTTAACTGTTAAGCACTTTGTGACTTTTGTCTGTGAAAAGCGCTTTATAAATACATTTTACTGACTTACTTTACTTAACTTCCTTGTGATATGTCCTTTTCAATTTCTCATCAACACTTAAGTATAAAATTAAGGACTCTGCTGCTAGGCCTTGAAATTCCAGTTCCCACAAGACCTCATTTAATTATTCTGTTAACCTTTTAATGCTGTCCATTCAACTTTTCATCAGGACTGATATTCTCATATTTCAGCTCCCAAATTCAGAGCTAATGAAACAGCTTGGTTGAGGTTAGGAGCTAAAATAGTGCCGCTCAAATTAGCTAACTGCTGACTTTAGCAGCTAAAATAGTTTAGGTTTGCTTGCAGTTTGTTTATGAGCTCAAACTGTGTAGTTCGGGTTAGCTAACAAGTCAGATAAGCAGCTAAATTCAGGTTAACAGTTCAGTTTAAGGTTACTAGCTTAACGTTGGGCTAACAGATGCTAATGTCGTCCTGTTTCTGCTGGATGTGGCAACTGTTTGCTAACATGTTAGCTACAACTACATAAAGCTGATGCTTCAATGTCGGGTTTCTGCCGCTCTTTCTGACAATTCATTGACTAAATGTCCAGTGTGGTTGAGGCCAGCAGTTGAGTTTAAGTTTTAGCAGTTATTAGTTAGTCCTTGTTATTGTTGATTTAGGAAAGCCAACCATTAGTTTGATAGCTTAAAATATTTTAGTTGTTTTAGCTGGGATGACCACGTTGTGCATGTGGAAGAAGGCAGCTGTTTACTAACATGCTAACTGTATAAGATGTGTTAACAGCTTGTTCTGTCCCCAAGTGGACAAAAAACGAAGTCATTCCAGGTTTAACTTTCTCGTTGCGCTACCATGTCGATATCTTTCTTCAAACTTCCAGTTGGTCAGGAGTTTTTTACTAGAGGCCCAAACATGGATATAAACAATGCAGGATTTAAATATTGAAAAAAAAAAACTAAACACAATCAGCTTTGCAAATCTTTTCTAAGGAAGGAAATGTGTCTCAACATGTTTGTTAGAAATATTCATTGTAAACTTAAAGTTTGTTTACAAGAAAACTCCACAGGCAGCTTTAAATACTGATCATTTAATTTAAAGATATAATGCTTTCCTTTTACATTGATTCTCTGCAGGTACATGTTCTGGTAGAAACAGTTAGGGAGCATTAACAGCCACAGAGGGAGAGGACAGCCCGTCCAAATCCACACACATTAATCCCTCCTTTCAATTAAAGTGGCCGTCAGCCGCTCAGTTAGAGCCAAATGAGTGTGCTGACCTTGAGGAGCTGAAACTGAACGAGGTAAACGATAAAACACATCAAATAGAATTATTGTGGGAACTTTGAGGCACAATAAACGTACACTTGGTAGGGATTTAACATAGTTAAATGTGACCTGTAGGCCAACAAACCAAAGAAGGAATCAGGTTTAGATTGAATTATATAATATAATATATAACGATTTATTTTAATATACTACAGGAGTATCTCAAAATTGTACTTAGGTAAATAAACTTATATTTCACAGTAAACTGAATATTTTATTTGACTGTTGGACAAAATAAGACATTTGTCCAAAGTCTTGTCCAAGGTGACTTTGGGAAATTACTATGGACATTTTTGTCAAAATACATAAATAGTATGCTGATAGTTAATATACCAAACAATTCATTTATTGAGAAAATAATCTGTAGATGAATTGATTATTGAGATAATAGTTAGTTGAGGCCCTAAAATGAATAAAGAAAATACTAGAAGACAAACACTGGGTCATCGTATAGACCTCGTAAATGACATTAAATAGATTTCAGTTTTTAAAGCTCCTTTTATAATAGGCCCGACCTGTAACAACAACCTTACACTTCATTACCTTCTTCTTAAAGTTTGTTTCTGTAGAAAACATGATTCGGTCTACAAAGATCAAAGTGTGACTTCACCCATTGTTTGCTGCACAGAACCGAATCTGAAGCATCTTTTTGTTTGACGCTGCTATACAGGTCAAAGAGAATCTAACTCCACAGAACATTTTAGTAATTAAACAATGACAAAAGACCCGCTTTTTTATTTTCAAATGTTGACGTGAGATGTATTTCATTATCGCAGGCAAAGATCTACTTCTCCTTTCCCGGAGAGCTGCTGATGAGGATGCTGAAGATGCTCATCCTTCCTCTCATCACATCCAGGTAGGTCGACGGTTTTGTGCTTGTCACACACCAGCAGATGTATTGAAAACATTTAAATTGCAATGAAACTTAGAGAGAGAAAAAAAAAAAAGAAAGGAAATGTCAAAAGTTTCTGACATTTAAGGTTCCACTACTGGTGAGGTTCCCAGCCTTCTCTGTGCTCAAGTTCCCCTTAATCAGATGGGATGGATAATATTCAACCTCAGAGAAAACATGGTGATTCATGAGGACATAATCCTGGAATCGTCAATGTTGTCCCTTTTAGTTTTTTCAGTGGTCAGGTTTACTTTCCCGCGTGTGTGTGTGTGTGTGTGTGTGTGTGTGTGTGTTTTATTCTGTAGAAGCTTGGTGGTGTTTTCAAGCTGCTGCCTTCAAATGTCTGCAGATATTTTCTTTTCTCACAATATAAAGATCAATGCAGACTGATTTACATGCTTTAAACACATTAGATGTTCATTTTTTTTTTTAGTTGAAGAGTGTCTAAATTACTTAATGGCTTTTTGCACTCGGTGCTTTTGTTGCACAGTGTTGTGGTCAGCGTGGTTGTCCTCTGTTCTCCACCGCTGTCTGTCCATGCTGCAGGCGGTGAAACAGATGCCAGCAAAACGCAAGACTGAGCTGTAATGAAACGCATTGACACACACCGATTAAGGGGAAAAAACGTCTCGTTCTGAATTTTGCTGTCGTTCATGGTGTGCTCAGTGGAGAGGAGGAGAGGGAGAGACTGGTTGGAAAAGTTCACGGCGGCTGCAATCGTTGCGTTGCTGTGCATGAAAAGCTTGGCGAGTAAAAACGGATCGGATCAGGACATCCCCTGAACCACACAATCCATCCAATGGTTGTTGAGATGTTTCAGTCTCATGAAGTCAGAAAGTAACACATTATCTTTCTGCAGCAAGTTTTTTGAACTCTTGTTATCCAACAAGATACAACGTGCGCATCCAATACACTCGGAAGGTGGATTTCTTTTTTTGTTTCCCCCCTTCTTCCAGTCGTTATGATAAGCTAGGCTAAACATGTCCTGGACCTCTGTCTGTCCTGAACACACACAGATGAAACTGAAACTGACATGAACAAAATGTCCCTTTTAAACCAACATGTGCCCCTCCCTCCCTCCCTCCCTCTGTCTGTTCGTGCAGTTTGATGTCGGGTCTGTCGTCGATGGAGTCGAAAGCGTGCTGTCGGATTGGCGTCCTGACCGTCACCTACTACCTGTGGACCACCTTCATCGCCGTGGTGGTCGGCATCGTGCTCGTCCTCATCATCAAACCCGGCGTGGGGACGGAGATGGAGAGCAACCGGCTGGGAGGGGGGCCCGTCATGACCTCGGCCGACGCCCTGCTTGACCTCATCAGGTAAAGGATGTTTAGAGGCCATGAAGGGTCAGACCCGGGACTCTCTAAATGTGGGACAGTTTGTTGTTTGCGAATACCCCCCCCCCCCCCACACCTGCCTGGATATTGATGAGTCCTGCACAGCTCTGTGCAGCGAGCTCTGTGCAGCGAGCACAAGTTTCTACTGGAAGCATCTGTGAAAACAGTGCTGGACAACAAATTCAGTTATTTCAGAAATGTACAGCAAGGTTTTCAATGTGGAGTGGCCTTTTAGCATCCGCAGGCCAAAGTTCAGGAAGCTAATTAGCCTCTTGCCCTTTTTCACTGGTATGGATGGGGTGCAACATTCTGTGTGACCGCAGAAGCAGACACATGGGATTGTTAAAAAGTTTGTGGCGAGTTTGTTGGTTTTGGTTTCTAAGCAGCACGACGCTGCGTTTCCCGTCATAAGTCAAGCTTTCATGTTCATCGGAGAACATGGAAGACAGTCATGTGACTCCAGAGTTTGGTCGTGTGACCTTCAGGCACTTCCATTTTACTAAGTGTCAAGTCAGATACATCAGAGTTTAGTAATAAATTGTAATTAGCACTTGGACGTTAACATGAACACAGAGAAAATGTTTGAGAAAATATGGCTGACCGTGGATTATATGGGTGATAATGAATAATAATCTAGTGGGTTCGACCTGACGTCAATCTTTGATTGTGTGTCTGCTGCTTTTCACTGCAAGGCAGGAGAGGAAGTGCAGTTCACTTCGTCAATTAGCTGTTGATTATTTAAGTCTATTACAACAAGCTGCCAGTCATCCTCCAGTGCATCAGATTTTGGGGTTTATACCTCAGTAAACTGAATCTCTTTGTGTTTTTGACAGTTGATCGATCAAACAAACAAGACATTTAAAGACTTCACTTTGGACTCTTGAGAGACACAGGGTCCAACAGACCGCTGCCAGTCAGCTGCACAACACATCGATCAACAAATCGTAGAAAACACAGCAAACACACACACACATCAATCCGATTACAGACGGGGCTGATTAGTATATTTTTAGTAATCCTGCAGGGATGAGTGACAGATTAGCCGAGTCAGCGGCGGTGCAAAGCAATGATCTCTGCTGCGGCACGTTGGCAGTAGGGGTGGGAATCACCAGAGGTCCCGCGATACGATATTATCACAATACTTAGGTCACGATACGATATTATCACGATACTGCGATATTCTGAGTATTGCGATAACATAGGCCTATATTGCGATTTATTACTTTTTTCAACTTCAAATTATGTCCCCAAAGGAAAACTGTGTCAACATGTTTTATCTAATAAGATAAAGTTTTCAGTCTGTTCATCTCACTTCAATCATTTTTATTGCAGCAAAATAGGATTGTCAAGCAGACAGACTGACCAACAATGTCATAAATGTTGCATGAACCTGACACACTGAACTGTTTGTATTACTACATAGTCCAACTTAACTGAATGCAAACGTGTGGACTCAGTATATGAACTATAACTTATATAAGTAGGATATAAGTGTTGTATAACTCAGTATAACTTGCGATGCGTGGATGTTAGTTAAGGGCAGAGAGCCAGTTATGCGCCGCACTCTCCCCATGAGCCTGGCTACTGTTGGCAGATTTAACCACGTTGTAAGGCCAGATTGAGCGTGTGAGCGAAACACTTCACATGCAGGTATCCCGCTAACTGAACGGCAACGCCCATGTTAGAAGCGTTGTCGGTTGCAACCACCAGGTTTTTGTCGGCAATCCGCCATTCTTGTGCTGCATTTTGCAGGAGGTCTGTAATATTTGCCCCGGTGTGACTTACGTGTACTGCTCTAGTTTGGAGAACGAGAGACAGCAGTCGCCAGTCCCCTGAGATATTGTGCCGTTATAGTCACATAGGAATCCACGCATCGCAAGTTAATGCAACTCTTTCTGCTGTACTCAAAGACTCCTCAACTTTAAGCTTCACTTCTCTGTAGGGCTTGGGCACGGATGTGTCGGTGAAAAAATGCCGCGACGGTGTCATATCCATGTGTCATATCAATGTGTCATATCCATGTCCTTCTTCCCTTCCTTGTTAAAAAATCCAAAATAAGTCCAGACGTCTGATTTAAACGCGGACAGTGCATTTCTGATTTCTTTCTCCGATGTTTGTTTTGACCAACTTCCTACCAATCATGCTGACCCGGGACCTTTGCTGACCTCACCAGAAAACAACTCAGCACCATCTAGTGGACTGAAAAAGCAATTGATTTGATTTTTCTAGTAATTTTTTAATAGTTTATATAATAAAAGATCGATACTTGGCGTCCGTGTATCGATACAATATCGCCACGCAAAATATCGCGATACAATGCTGTATCGATTTTTTCCCCCACCCCTAGTTGGCAGACTCCTTACCATCGCGTTGACCTATCTCTCACCACCCGTTGAAGGTCAGGTGATCTACGCAGCCGTTTCGCTCTCGACTCATCTGTGTTTGATATTTGATCCTCTGTCACCGTTAAATAACAACGCTGTGTCTCTTTGTTCCTCCGCAGAAACATGGTTCCCTCTAATCTGATCGAGGCCACGTTTCAGCAGGTAACGAGACAGCCATTCAGATGACAAAGAACTTTTAAACACTTCCTATAACAAACACGTCTGTGTTCCCCCAGTACAAAACGGACCTGATTCCCATCCTCAAAGTCCAGGCCAGAACCGTCCAGCCCAACTTTGTCTACGTCTTCCCTGACGAGAGCGACCCGAAAGGTCGGACGGTGTACCTGGAGCTGACTCCGCCTCCGGATGTCACGTACAAGACGAGTCCCGGCAGCAGCCAACAGATGAACGTCCTTGGCATCGTCATCTTCTCCGCCACCATGGGTGAGCAGGACGGAGTCCATGGCTGGCTGACTGACACAGTCAGCTGTTATCAAGTCTGGATGTTTACTGCGCTGAAGTTTTTATTATCCAATTCCTTCTTCTATATTCTGTTTTCTGTTAGTTGTTAAACAGATCAGATGTTGGAATTTCTGTAGTTTCCTCGAATCGGCTGTTAAGTAGGTCTTCTTCTTCTTTTCAATAGTGGCTGTTTTAACAGAGATGAAGAAAACGGTGTACTTCAGACACCATTTACCATTTACATAAGAATGAAATAATTCAAACTTCCATTTAGTCGAGGGCACCACTTGGTTTTTGATTTGGTTTTCCCGGACAGAAAAGCGTCAGTGACCCTCGATCATTATTGAACTACGACGGTGCAGTTTGGCATCTAAACAATGAGTCGGTCTCTCTGCAGTCTACTTGATGTTTAGTTTGAAGAGCTTTAAACTGTGACTTGTTCAGCTGACATTCCACTGGTGCTAACCTTCTGTTTCTATTGGGAAGTTTGAAGAAGAGCATTGCTAAAGCAACACTTTGCCTCTTAATTCCAGCTTGTTTCAGGGTGCATTATTGTGAAATACTGAAACAGGAAGCTGTTAAATCTGAACACATTTTGATGCCAAGTTCCAGTTTCTTTGACCAATGGCTGCTCAGAGGGATTGTTGTCTCTTTCAGTTGTCAGTCTGGTTGAACCATTGTACAGTGTTTTTTTTTTTCTCCATGTACTAAACTAAATGACGTCAATTAGAAAAGAGGACTTTCTACAAAGTAAAAGCTTAAAAAACTATTCAGACATACAGAGTTACTGGACACAATGGAGCTTCAGTGGCAGGAGATTACAAACTTGTCAACAGTGGTGTATTGACATGAGTCCAGACGGTTTCTGTTGCTGCTTATAATAATGTACTAACTGTTTTGTTGCAGGCCTGTTGCTGGGCAGGATGGGAGAGCGAGGAGCTCCCCTGATCAGTGTGTGCCAGTGTATCAACGAGTGCGTCATGAAGATCATCAACGCTGCTGTCTGGTGAGAAGAATACTCTGAATGTACAGTACATACTATTGAGAAAACGCTGGTCCATTTTACAGCAGACATTTTAATATGGGACAGCAGAAAAACCTAAAGTCTGGATTCAGTTTCAGGGTCCTGGCTTCATTGTCAGAAGTCAGTCAGTCACTAAAGGTGTTTTCAAAGCTGCGTTGTAAATTCCTGTTGAATCGTTCTGATTGGTTTTCCTTCTTTAAAAGATTATTATGGGCAGATTTGAACACAACAGTTATTCGTGGGTGCAAAGCCACCTCTCAGAGACCCTGAAGAGGAAGTGGGTCTCGGTTCGTTTGTGGTGGGAACCTGATCTGATTTGAGCTTACAGGCTCCCATAACCAGGTTGCATGCTGGGACGTGGAGTGAACTCAAACAGTTCTTAGCAGCTAGCTAAGAACAGAATAAATAGGATAAATGGAGGTCTGACTAGCTGTGATATGAGACTAGATATCGTCTTAGAGTTTGGATATTGTAATATGACATACGTTTTGTATTTTCCGAGTTTTAAAGTCTGCTTTACAGTAAAGGGATGGCATTTTCTTTTATATTATTTGCCTTTACCCATTTACTCATTATATCCACATTATTGATGATTATTTAGCAACAATATCTTTTAAGTATAAATATTTTGTGATGGCATCAGTAGTCAAACCTACATTGTCGTCACAATATCAAAGAATCAGATATCGTGATATCTGATTTCTTTTTCCATATTTCCCAGCCCTGCTACAAGTGCAAGTTGCCTCTCCAGTTTCCACTTGCTCGTTGCTATTGATGATATACGAAGTGCAGAGGCAGTTTATACTATCGATGCCCATAATAAATCATTTCTTTGTGAGCTCATCAGAGAAGATACCACATGAACCAATATACAGACGTGAAAGCGCCCTATAAATAAACATTCAAACTAAACATAAAGCGTACAACTTTATTTTAAGCACATCCTGATTCCACAGGATTATTTATTTTTGTGTGTGTTCATGACTTCCCTTTGAAGCAGCAGAGGGTTTGACTTTGACCTTCATAAAATCCAGAGTTCAGAGTTTGTTTCGGTAATATTAAACTACAACGTGGTATTTTGTAGGGGTGGGAATCACCAGAGGTCCCGCGATACGATATTATCACGATACTTGGGTCACGATACGATATTATCACGATACTGCGATATGCTGAGTATTGCGATAACATATATTGCGATTTATTACTTTTTTCAACTTCAAATTATGTCCCCAAAGGAAAACTGTGTCAACATGTTTTATCTAATAAGATAAAGTTTTCAGTCTGTTCATCTCACTTCAATCAGTTTTATTGCAGCAAAATAAGATTGTCAAGCAGACAGACTGACCAACAATGTCATAAAAACCTGTCATAAATGTTGCATGCACCTGACAAACTGAACTGTTTGTATTACATTCTACATAGTCCAACTTAACTGAATGCAAACGTGTGTGGACTCAGTATATGAACTATAACTTCTATAAGTGTGATAACTCAGTATAACTTGCGATGCATGGATGTTAGTTAAGGGCAGAGAGCCAGTTATGCGCCGCACTCTCCCCATGAGCCTGGCTACTGTTGGCAGATTTAACCACGTTGTAAGGCCAGATTGAGCGTGTGAGCGAAACACTTCACATGCAGGTATCCCGCTAACTGAACGGCAACGCCCATGTTAGAAGCGTTGTCGGTTACAACCACCAGGTTTTTGTCGGCAATCCCTCATTCTTGTGCTGCATTTTGCAGGTCTGTAATGTTTGCCCCGGTGTGACTTACGTGTAGTTTGGAGAATGTGAGACAGCAGTCGCCAGTCCTCTGTGAGATATTGTGCTGTTATAGTCACATAGGAATCCACTGCGCTTGAGGTCAACGCATCGCAAGTTAATGCAACTCTTTCTACTGTACTCAAAGATTCACTTCTTTGTAGAGCTTGGGAACGGCTGTGTCGGTGAAAAAACGCCGCGACGGAGTCATATCCATGAGTCATATCCATGTGTCGTATTCATGTCCTTCTTCCCTTCCTTGTAAAAAATCCAAAATAAGTCCAGACGTCTGATTTAAACGCGGACGGCGCATTTCTGATTTCTTTCTCTGAGTCTCCATCTTTGTTTTGACCAACTTCCTACCAATCATGCTGACCCGGGACCTTTGCTGACCTCACCAGAAAACAACTCAGCACCATCTAGTGGAATGAAAAAGCAATTGATTTTATTTTTCTAATACCAAAAAGTTTATAGTTTATATAATTAAAGATCGATACTTGACTTCCGTGTATCGATACAATATCGCCGCGCAAGATATCGCGATTCTATGCTGTATCGATTTTTTTCCCCCACCCCTAGTATTTTGTAGTTAATATTTGTGTAATAAAGGTCTCACCTCTGAGTGACCCCTCCTCTGACACCGATAACAATGAGTTGGATCTGACCTGATGACCTGTCAGGTGGGGAGAACATGGCTGTAATGTCATCTTGCTGCAGCACATGACCAGATTAAAAACGGCAGCAGAGCCCACGCGAGGCTTATTGACCTGAGCAGTGAACGGATACAGTTCTTACATGTGTGTCCTTCAGGGTTTAGACCATCAGACTCTTAACACATACCAATATTCACGTTATAAAATATTTCATGAGCATTGTTCATGGACGCTTAGTTATGGCAATCATTTGCACTTGAAGCACAGCCTGTTGAACGCCGCTCTGCTTTGGGGATGCTGATTTAAATGATCAGGACTGATTAGGCCACTTGTTAAATGTTGTCATTCATGAGCTGATTCGGAGAAACTACTTCAGCTCTTAAGTCGCTAAAACACATGATTGAAATAACGGCAGCTTAGAGAAGCTTTAATGAGACTAGCATACACATGCTAGAAATCCCAGATTTAGCGACAGTGGTGGAGATTTCTGAAAAGTATCTCGTTCTCACACCCTGGTATTCAACTCTCTCACCAGTTTAGTCTAATAGATGTTTTCTTTTTACTTTCATGTAAATGGCGAAAATTGATGCTTTTCAATTTATTAGTCATTTTAACACGGTTGCACAATGAAACACACACAAAACATATTTAACAATTTAAATTTGAATAGAATAAAAACATATATCCAGTATGCAAATCCTTTAATACATATATACCAAGAGAGACTGTTGTTTAGTGGGGATGAGGCCAGTGTGAAATGTAATAGTATGGTAATGTGCAAAACCGGCATAACAGCAAGTTGGGGGATGGCGATATGGCCAAAAATCTTCTATCAGGGTATATGTCATTTTAAATCATCCATCCATCCATCCATTTTCCACCGCTTATCCGAGGTCGGGTCGCGGTGGCAGCAGGTCAAGCAGGCCGACCCAGACCTCCCTCTCACCGGCAACATGTTCCAGCTCATTCTGGGGGATCATGGTAATGGAATATATAACGACACAGTGATTGTTCTGTAAATTTATGTTAAAATGGTTTTAAAATATAAACTGTACTTTATCACATTTGAATATTTTTTATTTTATTTGGAACTTCCTTAAACAAACAAAAACAATTGCCTCAAACGAGACAACACATGAGTTTAAAACAACAGACTGAAAACAGTAAAACTAAAATTCTTTAAGCTTCCTGAGAACAATCATTTCAAGTATTACTGGTTTGAATGATAACAGGTGCAAATAAATACCAACCTGACCTCAGTCAGTGCAATGGGAAAATCCAATACCAAAAGCAAAAAGACTTCCTGCACAGGATTTCCTTTCATTTCACAAAGCTAATCATGTAACCAGAGGTCTTCCTTATCTTGGGTTAGTTGGTATGCTTCCTCCAGCTCTGTATTTACAACTTTACTCTCCTCCTCCCTGTCTGCTGAAATCCCGTGACCCATTAGAGAATATCTACTGCGGTGGAAACGGTCTTGCTGTATCTCTACCGGTGGACATAGTTCTACCTTTGTACAGTATATGCTGTCATATCGCCCAACCCTTCCACACCATTTATTCATAGTGGTTTATTTATTTACTTAGACTCTGTTGTTTTTGATATCCGTGGTCCCAAGGGAATGTCCATTCGGATAAAATACTAAAATAATCCCTGTGACCAACGTTATGGTCCATGCCAAATTATCTGGAAAACTAGGGACTGGATTACTTAGAAATCTGAGGTGTATATTCATGATCCCCAGAGGCTGATGACTTAATGACTGATTCCCAGAGGATGACCTTTTTTGATTTGAATGACTCCATGACCTTTCCTCTGGTGTTACCCTAAGGAAAAACATTTCATGTTTAGCTCCACTGCTGCTTAGACTCTAAGAACAGATAAATCATCACGATGTTGTCCTCTCAGGTACTTTCCGTTTGGGATCATCTTCCTGGTAGCGGGGAAGATCCTGGACATGCAGGACCCGAGCACGCTGGGAAAGAAGCTGGGCTGGTACGGCATCACCGTGCTCGCTGGCCTCTTTGTCCACGGACTCATCCTCCTCCCTTTCTTCTACTTTGTCCTCACCAAGAAGAATCCCTTCACCTACATCCGTGGGCTGCTGCAGGCCATGGTGATCGCCCTGGCTACCTCTTCCAGGTCAGAGTCCAGGGCAGTCCTGTTTTCAACCCGCCGGTCTCTGGACGCTTTCAAGGTTTCTATTAATGATTTATTTGAATGCTGTCTTTCCTTAGCTCTGCCACGCTGCCCATCACCATGAAGTGTTTGTTGGAAAACTGCAATGTTGACCGGCAGATCGCCCGCTTCGTCCTCCCCGTGGGTGCCACCATCAACATGGACGGCACAGCGCTGTACGAGGCTGTGGCGGCCATTTTCATTGCTCAGGTTAATGACTATGAGCTGGACTTCGGCCAGTTGGTCACCATCAGGTAAACCAACACAAACAACCGAATCTGGTCTCCATCCAGCATATCAGTAAATGTGGACTAAGTCTCATAATCTTTCTGACTAGACAGTCTGGAACCACTCTCACAAGCTTGGGAGAGTAGGTAAAAGGCCTGGGTTTCTTAACCGTGAGAATGCAGAAACATTTTATACCTGAAAGAAATGTTTTCCACCTCACACATTCATCTCAAAAAGGCCACTTAATACACCTGAAGTGGATATAATGATATCAAGGTAAAAGCCAAATTCAACTGTGTAAAAGTTCAAGTGTCTGGATAGGCTCTAATATATCCTTTAGACCTTGTTTGAAAAGAATGTGCCAACAAAAAGTATGTTTATTTTGACATATTTTAATTTTGTACGAAACAACTTTGTTTTATATGAATGTCTGTCAAACTGTGCAAAACAACGCATATCCACATTGAAACCCCTTTAAATTTATTCCTGAGCTGGTAACATTTGATAAAATGTCTCCCCCTCCACTTCAAATATTTATTATGCCAAAAAAACAGGTTTTGGACCAACTACAAGAAGTGTTCGCAGGCTATCGTCGGAACCGGAAAAAGGAAGAGCAGCTAAACGAAATGAGCTGCGTGGCCCACGGGGACAGGAGGAGACCAAATGTTTAACTGACGAGGCCTTTACGTTTTGGTTGAATTAATCGTTGACGGTAAATTCTACTCTTCCTTCTGTTTTCCTCATGCAGCATCACGGCTACAGCTGCCAGCATCGGTGCGGCGGGTATCCCTCAGGCCGGTCTGGTTACCATGGTGATCGTGCTGACATCAGTGGGCCTGCCGCCAGATGACATCACACTTATCGTGGCCATCGACTGGATCCTGTAAGTTTACAGTACTCATTTTGTAGAAATGTCTCTTTCTGTGCAGTTTAGTATTTATTCACATTTAGTGAAGATCTATTAATGTTATCAAATCAATGACTAAATTGGAAACGAAAACTGTTCCCCTTTGCATTTTTCAATTTTTTGAGCCAGGGCAGCAAGGACATCACATAAAACAATGATTTTCAGTCCACTGTATGAAATAGTTAGTTTAAGGATGATCTCATTTTTAACAACTATCAGTGAAATAAATATAAGATGTTTATTTTCAAAAAATAATGTATTGGTATTTACATCTGAGAGGTGCAGTTTTTTGCCTGCCCGAAATCAGCTGGGGCAGTGCGGGGGTCACAAGGCCCAACTGAAGTCGGCCATGAAATTAGTGGATAGACCAATGCATAGATTTTGGACATGGTAAATACATGGTAACAGTGGTGGAATCAAAACTAATTATCTAAAAAAAGTGGGATTCTTTCATGGTATGATTTCATTTCATT